AAGTTGCATTCCATGTCACAACGTTGGATCCTGTCACTGCAAGGGTGGTTTGCGGCAAGGCTACCGAGAACAAGGGACGACAGGTATGCAGAGCACAAACTGTTGAAGCCTTTCCACCTGAGGCAGGCAAGTTTGGTCACGTCCAATATTGACTAAACAAGAAATCGACTATCCCTTCCCAATTCTACCCCAGCTACATCTATCCTGTCCTAGAAAGAGATGGAATTGTGACAGCTACTCTTGGATGCAAACAAGGGGCAAATGTCGTCCTATCATCCTGCCAAGCGGCTGTGCACTGATTGCAGATGCAGCCATATCTTTCAACATTTTTGACAAAATCATTACCTGTGCTTGTGCAGATGCAACACAGAATGGACATCGATAAATTCTGCTGTATTCCGTCACAGAAGAAAAACGGCCAATGTTTCGCATTATTCTGCTGCTACTGGGACTGCTACTCACATTGGGTGGCGATCCAAAGGGTCCATTCGTGAACGGGGAGGGCGAGGGTGTTTCCTCCCGGCTCTCATGCTCGCGGCTGCTGGCTTCCGTTTCTGCATCCACCCCCATTCCCCGCATCAGCTCCGAGCTCGCCTCAGATGCCGTGGGCATCCTTGGTGGGGGTGCCAGGAATGAAGCCGGCGGGCCTCCCTTCATGGCTGCCATCATGAATGGATTGTCCATTCTGGGAGATTCATTCTGTGTGTATTGGGGCACGCCCTGTTGGGGAGACGGTGACCTAGATCCTGGGGCCCCAAAGGGCGACTGTGGTGGTGGTGGTGGGGACGGTGCCCTGGGGTGGCGGGTGTACTCCCTCGGACTGCCTGACACTCTGCCAGTCATGCCAGTGCTTGGGTAGCCGTCCACAACGATGGGCCTGGGGACGTTGGAGTTGCGCTGCAGGCCCCCGCCAACTTCAAATGGGCTGGGCTCAGACCTATTCAGGGACACCTCCGCCTTGACAACCTTGCGCAACATCTCCTCCAGGTGCTTCACCAGGAAGGAGAATTCTGGCCGCCTCTGGGGGTCCTGGTCCCAGCACCTGTGACAGTGTGTCAAAAAGGAGGCAGGTCAGCCATGGGGCACAGTGATCATACAACAGCAAGAGACAGAGAGCAAGGTAACTCAATCAGCAGTTATGGATCCATGCATCTCTTACACCAACAACTCCAAAGAAACAAATCCTTCTCCTTGTAAGCTTGCGATGCTGTCAGAACATATTCTGGCAGCCACAATTGCATTCAAGCATCTCGATGTGTTCGTCCTCTTGCACATTGCATGCAAGAGATCCAGTCATGGGCCCTTCCCAGTTATCCCTTATCTGCATCGTGACCCACCCACCCACCTCTGGATCAGGGTTGTCCAATCTTCGTACACCGGACAAGGCCCAGCTGGCAGTTCAGTGGCAGGGGGTATCTCTGGGCGCTGTCCCTCCAGCACCCAGTTGTAGATTGTGACTGCGTGGCAGCTGCGGGGGCACTCCTCCCAGGGCTGCTGCCAGGTGAGCAGCTCCCACAAGATAATGCCAAAAGAGTACACATCCGCCTTGAAGCCATACACATTGTCCCGCAGAGCCTCGGGCGCCAGCCAGCGGGGGTTGCTGGCGTGCACAGACGAGGCATGGATCTGTGGGGACAGGAGCCTGCACAGCCGCGGAACACCGATCAGCTGCATATCCTTTGCCCACAACATGCCAACGAATCATGCATTGTTCACATTTTCAGGTACAGTGGGCACTCGATTAGCATACCAGGAACCGAATCGAAGTAACAATTCTAAGTACTGGCTAAGCACTTAATGCTCCATCAAGTGTGCTCCATCAAGCTGAAAGGAGCCCAAACCAAAGTCCAAATTTGGAAACCAGCTTCAACACGAATGATTCGATACTCCAAGCTTGAATCTGCACACACAACCTATCTACCGAGGTAACTGCAGACTAAGGATCAGCACTGGTTAGCACCACACACACAATTCAAACACGTGGCAAGAGACTTTGGTCTTGACACCACATCTGGAAAGTAACGTGACATTCGGAGTAGAGAACACCAATCAGCCCTTTGCACAGACTGGGAGGTTGTGAATCAACACAAAGCCCATCATCGTCTTGGGAGTGCCAAGTTTGCTCAGCACTCACTTTGATGTCCCAAAGTCTGAAACTTTGACTTTCCAGAAGGCGTCAACCAGCAAGTTGGGTGACTTGAGATCGCGGTGCTCAATGTCCTGCCGATGCAGGTAGTACACCCCCATGGCCGCCTCCAGTGCCATCTTTGCAAGCCTCCGCCACGTCAACTGCTTTCCCATCGCCTCGTTGCCCTCCCGCACCCTTTGCAGCAGGTCAAAGAGGGAGCCCTTTGCGCAGTACTCCGTCACAAGACTTGGTGGGTCGAGGCACACACCCATGAACATCACGATGTTGGGGTGCCGAAGATAGTACATCACCTGAACAGCAGATTAAGCCCCTGAGCACATAGTAGCACCAGCATGCACAGATTGGGCACCACAGTGGGAGCAGGTAGCAGGGCAAACTGGCACCCACCTTGTAAACGATGATTTGGTATACACATCCAAGAATGTTTTCATGTCAGTCATCTGCTCGCCACCTGTGTGGTCAGACAATGCTATATGATTGACATCCAAAGCCTGGTGATGATGGGGTGCAGTGCTGCACTCACCTGCGCCTCCCGCTGGAGCATGTGCATTGCCTTTGCCAATGCCGCTTCGGCCCTGTCGTTGCTGTCAGGGTCTTCCTCCCGTGCCTTGAGGGCGCCTGAGTTGCCGAGCAGGTTGTTAACCTTCAGCACCTTGATCGCCACATCAGTCATGAAGGCCTTTCCCCTGCACGCCACAACACAGGCACTCCTGGCCTTGGTCACTGCCTTCCAGCAGGCCAAGTGCCAACTCTGCTGCAGTCCCATCCCTCAACAGGAATACTGAGACTTTCCTTTTCATGCCTTCTCCCATGCCTCAACTGCAATTCTTCAGGCCACTCGACGGGGAGCAGGCACAAAGCTTGCTGGGGAATCTTTTCCAGGCAACTTTTGTCCGCACACCCCAGCACAGCCTGATCGGTGGAAGCAGCGCTCATCATATATATGGCAGTCAATACCTCGCTAATGTTATCAACTGGGATGCATACCTTGAGGGCAGAGTTTCCCAGATGGTTGAAAAGCAGTGGTCTATCAGGGAATGCTCTTTTCATGCATTTATTTAGGGAGGACCTACCTGTACACTGTCCCAAAGGCACCGTCCCCAAGGGTTTCTGCATCTGCCTTGTCCCAGCTGAGGTCGTGGCGGCTCAGCAGGATGGAGTGCTCCGGGGGCAGGGGATCGATAACGATGCTGGCCTCGCGACCCAGACTCAGACGTTGCCCGGCCTTTGACAGGGACCTAAAGCCCTCAAAGCTGCTCTGCATGGCACAGGTCGCAGTCAATCACTGGTGGCCAAATATTGGCAAGAACAACAAAAATGTGAAGATACCAACCAGTCAGCAACAACAGCTGTCATTCATAACCACAAAGCCACCTAGCAAGCACAATCCCATCAGCTTTCCCTCCACATTTTTGGATCTTTCACTTGCATCTGCCAGCCCCTCGGGACTGCAGACGTGTGAGAATGAAGCAAGAGGAGAAAAACGAGCAGGTTGGCCAAACGCCATCGCATTTCCACCACAATTTTTCATCACTGCTCCACGGTGTTCACCAGCCCCGGCAGCCGCACCTGCAGCCCGACCGTCGACGGCGACCCAGCGTCCTCCCCCATGGGCCGCATGCTCTGGCCGCTGCTCAGCATCGTGGACGGCAGCTCCTGGATGGTCCCCAGCCTCGCGGCGTCGTTGTCATCGTCCGTCGTGATCCACGCCGCGTCCACGGTCACTGTCCGGTCGTCGGTCGTCAGGCCGTTGTCGTTCGGAGTGACGTCCCGCCCGAACTCCTCCCTGGGCCGATCCCTGACGCCCTCCGCCGCGCGGATGGGCGGTCCCTCGATCGAGGGGGTGGGCAGCGGGGCGGCCTTGGCCGCAAGGGGCTTGGCGTGCAGGGCCTTCTTGCCGGAGCCGCTGTGAAGGCCGGGAGGGATGGGGGGCTTGTCGTTGCCCGGCAGGCGCGGGGGCGCCGACTTCTCGGGGTCCGCGGGCACGTTCAGGTTCTTCAGGGTGTTGAACCGGTGCACCGTGTCCACCTTGCTCACGCGCTTCACCCATCTGCGGCACACATTCGTCGAGGAATGTGGGCATGCGCGCCAGTGGCGCAATGGAACGTACGGCGGCGCATGGAGAAGCTCGCTGTGCGGCAACAAGGGGAATCGCGCAAGATGTCCCCCAAGCGCAGACGCAGGCGGAACGCATGGCATCCAGAGGGGTTTGAACGTGTGAAGGTGGAAGCCAAACGTGTGCCTTTTGACAGTCGATGGGAACGCTCGTTGGCGCTACGAGCGGCTTCGATTGGAACAAGAGGAGGGCGCCAACTCGCCTCGACTGCGCACTGCCGCAGACGCTGACGCTCCCATCAAAGTTTGCACCCTGAAGGGTGGCGATAGCGCCCGCGGACGCCCGCGCACGCTGACACAAACGCATAAACTTGCGCCCACTGCGGCTCAACTCACCGACACCAGAGTGGACGACCTTTCACGCAGACACAAGCGCACAGACTTGCACCAACTGCGGCCAACCTCGCGAACACTTGATTGGGGGCTCAAGCTGGGGACGATAACGCAAGACCAAGCGACAACTGGGGGCCAACTCACTGACACCCAATCGGGGCCGAGTCACAGCATCTTAAGCGTCAAGCTAGCGAGCGCCCGCCTACATTTGTGTCGCCCTCTTGCGCAGGGGCCCGGGCACGATGGGCAGCGAGAAGCCCGCCTTGCGTGCCTCTTCCTGCAGGAAGGCCTCCGGCCAGAAGGACACCGTGCCGAAGCGGCTGGCCGTCACCATGCTCTCCGTGCCGCCCGCGGAGTGCGCGATCTTGCCCTTGTGCGCCTTGAAGGCGCCCTGCCGCGGCAGGTGCTTGTACAGGGCGTGGTAGTGCGTGGCGTTGCCGGAGTTCATGCCCGGCGTCTTGGGGTCGGGGCGCAGCATGGACCAGAAGCCCACGGCGCCGTCCTGGTGGCTGACGTAGACCATGCCCAGGGGCTCGTTCACGAAGATGTTCCTGGCGACAGCGGGAGAAACGCGCGTTCAGACACGCAGGGTGACGGGCTGCGAAAGATCGGCAACGACGCGCGATGAGCGCACCAGGGCAAAGCTGAGGACAACAGAATCTTCCCCGCGCCGAGAAAAGAGCGAAGATTTGGGGAAAGGAGCAAAGTTCATCTGCAAACCCTGTCCTGGCTTGAGTATGGGGGTTTCAGCGCGCATGCCAGGCTCAAAGGTGGACCAGACATCGCCAACTTCGCGAGGCCCAGTCTCCGATGGGAGCATTGCCACTCGGGACCGACAAGGGTGCGGTGGGTCAGTTCAGAGGACTGGTACGATCAGCCCGTCCAAGAGCAGTCGTTCTCTGCTTGTCAGAACATGGCTCCTGTTCTTAAAGACAAACCACCGGTTGCTGATGGAGGAATGGGAACTGCTCTATCGCCAACAGGTGACCCAAAAAGCACGGCTGAGCCTCCAGGCAGAGCTCGAGAGGGATGGTCATGACTTGCCCACCTGATGGGGCTCTTGCTTTGACCAACTTTGACCATGGGCAGCAGTGACGAAGGGTTCCACAGGACGATGTCCCCACTGTCATGCCCTGATAGAAGCCGCCAGTCGTCATCTATGGCAGATGTTCTCTTTTTCACCTCCCAGTTCATGGCAGCCATCGTGTCACAAAGTCCTGCAATAGATTTTCAAGCGACAGGGCTCAACCACACGTGCTGGCACCGCATAGATATTGCCAACAACATTCTTACAGCCACCAGACATTCAGCTGGAGCTGTTGTGTGGAATGGGTTTGGGGAACACAATGACATGAAACCATTGAAATGAGCCTGCAGCTATCAGCTGCCGCTTTCAGCACAAATTGTATGCCATTAGCCAATTGGCAGTATTGAAAACAAGCAAAACAACTTCCTTGTCAAACTTGAAACAGGCATATGGAGGGGAAATGATGTTGGATTACGCTGAACTCCATTCACCAACGACACAGGCATTCTGTAGGTTGAAGAGTCACTGCCTGTCCATGCAGCACGTGGGCATGATGCCCACGGGGCGACACAGGGCCATGGCACTCAGTTTCAAATGCTACATGTGGATGCACACAGTGCCCTCCAACTAACTCAACAGCGCCTGGGAACAATCTGGCAGCATCGAGAAAGTTGATCCAAGGCAACACAGTGAGTTAGCATCAGTCCCATCATAAGCAGGCAACAGCGATGCGGCAGGCCATCGTGCACAGCTTTCATAGATACATACAAACAGCCAGGGCAGCTTCCGTATGCTAACAGTCGCACCTGCACCAAAGGCTCCAGGAGCGAGTCATGGCCTTTCACAGGTAGCAAAATGTCCAACAGGCTGGTGCCACTTTGAAACACAAAACGATCTGCTGCATGAATACCAAATATAATGAATCGAAAGAACTACCCCATATGGAAGCCCTGTGTCTGGTCCTCACCGTAATGTGAACAATGCCGACTGCCCAGAGCTTCCCCCGTGTCGTCCCACACTTTGATGCTTGAGCACGAGCGGCTGGAGCCACCTGAGGTGTAGACTTTGCCATTCTTTGGGAATATGCACCTCACTCGCCCCTGATGCGCGCGGGGTTCAGTTCTCATGCTGAACACTTTGCGAATGCCCTTGGCACCAGCCATTTCTGCAGCAGCAAGCAGCCCCTATATGTCAAGGCAGAAAAGGACGTGCCCGTAGGCATACTGCAAGCACGACATGTTCGCTAGGGAAAGCAGTCAATTGTAGCAAAAACCACACCACTGCAACACAGTTCTCCACACAGCAGTGCAGAGCTTGCACTTGGCCAGGCTAGTCAGGTCCCAGTGGACCAATGAATGCCCAGGTTGCGAATGGGCCCTGGCATTCAGCTGATGCGTATGCATACCTTTCACTGAAGAATCGCAAGGTGTGTCCCTGCCAGATGGAGCCAGAACCCCCAGCACCTCCAGTTGGAAGAATCCCTCCCTGCCTCTGATCTCCAGCCTCCTGACGATACCATTCGCCCATCCCACCCATCCAACACCCCACTCGTCAATGGAGATCGCCCTGCCATGCACATCCACCAGCTGTTCTGTGCTCACTGCCTATGGATTGAGACAGGCAAGGCATGCGATGCCATTCTCTACAGATGTTGCACTACAGCCTCTTGAAGCAAATCGCTGCAGAACTTGCCTACCAAGCACAGTCTAGCAGGGTGCCACTACAACTTCCCACAGACTTCCCGGAAAAGATGCTGCCACGCAAGTGATTCTCTTGAAGAAAGTTGTCAACCCTCATACAAATTCGATGATTGTGCTCGATTTGGCTTTCATGTCTGCGTGCAAGCAACTCAACCAAGCCCACCTGATGGCGGTGCTCTGACACTGGCTGCTGGCCAGCAAGATCTCTCCATTGTTGGTCCACACCTTGAGCATGCCCTTTTCATGGCCAGTCCATATTCTGCCCAGGTGGTCGCTGGACATGCACAGCACTGCAGAGCCGATCCTCTCTGCACTGATCTCGCTGGTGGCATCAGTCCCAAGGTCATGCCGGAAGAGCATGCCACCCTTCGACCACCACAAAATGCCCTGTGTGTCGCGGGCTTGGACCCCTCCAGCCGACATGCAGTCCTCTATGACAAAATGGGGTGGTCCGATTGTCAGCATAGGCATTTCAAATATTGCTGTCAGTCTCTCGTGTGTTGAGCATACCAGATGACTACATTTGCACTCAAAGCAATGTGGTGTGCTGTTTGCAATGTGAGTACATGTTCCCATTATGTTCATGGCTTTCACTTGCTGCAACAGCAGAACAGGTCATTGACACCAAGGATCTTTGATGTGGCAATTCAGCAGGCATCTTCAGGCGGGACCTACTACTTTGTTTTATGCCGAATGAGAAAAGTCTTAGGCTGTGTGCAAAGCAGATTTAAAGTCAACAAGCTTGTGCATTGCTTGCGAAGGTGAAAGGTGACCACCACGAATTGGGAGGCAAATCTGACCCTGGATGTATCAATCATGTCTTGTACACAAGCAGTGGAACACATGCCCTTGTGTTCCAAACCCGGGGCTGCTGGTAAAGATGGTGGAAAGATCGCAACCAAATTGTGGCTCCAGGTAATAATGATGGGAAGATCGAACAATAGTACACAGTCTGAAAGCAGGACAGAAGCATAACTGAGTGTTTTTTTCCCTAACATTGAAATACCAACACAATTTCACTGAACAAGAGAGCCACCAAACTCACCAATGTAGAGAAGGGCTGTGATTTGCCTGTCCATAATCTTCCCCTTGCGAATCCGCTTCCTTACAAGCTTAAAACCCAAATCCCCTGAAGAACACAGAGCACAACTTAAGCATACGCTGATCACTTGTGCTCAAACACTGCCACCAGGTGGGTATTCGATGCCACAACTCCAAAGCATTTGGTCAGGATCGAACAACCTGTTCAGCAAGGGTATGTCCACGCAGCAGGCCAGTGCGCATGATAGTAATATCTGCTAAGCGTGAAAGCTGAAAGTACAGGCATGCTATTTTCGTCTTGATGCAGTCTTCACTAGTTGGCAAAGAGCCACAAATCAACTGCTCAGGCGAGGGTGCGGAGGCAGTGCACAACTTGCTATGCAAGGAGCATGTTGCTGTGCATAACCATGTGCAATCTGATATTGCAGTCAACCTGATCTGACTTAAAGGAGAACAAGTGCCAGAGCGCGGAGACGTGACATAATCATGATACATGGACTGAATGGATGGCGTGGCTGAAAAAGGGACATCGCTGTTTGGGATCTGTCCATAAATCGGTTGCCTCCAGCTAGTTCCCAGACCACTTCCACCAGAACCGTTTCCCCAGTGACGAACCAGTCAGCGACCTATCAGCGCAATGTCTCTGTCCAAAAACAGCGGATCTGCAAACAGATGCATCTGGCAGACCCATTCCTTTAAATGGGACCAATGCTATGAGCCTAGAGCATGCAAAAATACCATGCAAAACCAGGCAAAAAATTCTGCACCAGTGCCACAACGCATCTCAGCTCTCACCTGGGGCACGCCTGGACCTCCCCGAAACAGTGGGCACACCCAAGCCCTGTCCCTGTGCCTCCTTTTTGCTCTTGGACACATAGGCCTCTCCCTTCTCACGCAGCTGCCAGGCCTCCTCAGCCATCAACTCTAGTTGGTGTGCCACCTTCATGAACCGAGCAGACAGATTCTTCTTCTTGGCCCCAGTGCGAAGGTGCCTCACGATCCTGGGCGTGTCACCATACTTTCGTACAAGCATGGTGCCCCTCGTCAGCAGCGCCCGGATCTCTGCGCTGAGCTTCGACAAATGGGGCTCAACTTTCTTTTCACTCAAAAGAGCCTGGAAACAAGCAAAGTCATAGAATGTCCTCACTGTCGACTGTCATGCAAAGTCCCTTGTACAGTACCCCAGTCACTCAAGGGTCCAGCACAGCTCCTTCTGCATTCCTTGCAGATTGGTCCCTCAATAAGGAAAATCCAACAAGGGCACTGCCATGCAGACCGTTTCGTGGGCCCCTGCCAGACGTTGCAAGAAAGTGCAAAATACGTTCAGGGCATGCAGATCCTCACCATGTCCAGGGCCGCCATGGCCTTGATAGCGGCTTCCCTCACACTGCTGGCACTCTCCCTAAATGAGCGAGTCTCCTCACTAGCCACCTCGAGCTCGTCATACTGGGCCTGGCACGCCTTCACCAGAGTGGCGCTCTCCTTTGTAGCCTTTGAAGGGCCATGGTATGTGGGCACGTCAACTGGTGACATCCAGTACAGAGGTTGTGACAACTCAAACTAAATATCCACATACAACACATGCTGATGTCTTCTTTCTGAAAGTTGCAGTCTGTTTGATGGCACAATTTGCACGTTAGCTAATGCATGGGGCGAATGAACCACCCAATCAACAGTGTAGACGCCAGTTTTCAGCCAAATGGCGGCAGAACGACCCAGATGCCAGTGGCATTCACACTGAAAGCTGCACATAATCAGGTAACACACTACTTCTAGGGTCTGAGATAGACAAGTTGCTCTACCAATTGATTGCTGTGTGTTTTTTGGTCTTGATGATGTTCACTAACAAGGTTGGCATGTTGTTGTGCGTGACCTCCTTTTTGCACAGGAAACATGCATTGGTTCCAAATCAAGACCACCAACCACAGCCAGTGCATACAAGACCCACGTCAAGCAGGCTGCCTGGACGCTCGCAACTAATGCAGACCATCATGAGATCAGGCAGCATAGTTGTCACTGGTTGTGGCTGTGTCTGATGCAAGATCGTGGGCAAGCATAGCATTGCACCCACAGCTGCAACTTTGGCCAAACATTGCACAGCAAGGCTGCAAGTCATACAATGGGCATATCCCATCACAGCAAGCTTTTACAACAATGGCAAAGACAGCTCCAAGTGGGCTGGGAAAGCAGGGCAGCATTGCTAACAGTGGACAACACTGGGCATGTTTGCAGTTGGAACATATCCACTAGCAGGAGCAAAAACATTTTCGAGTTGCAACCCCCCTGCCATCTTAACAACAAAACAATAGCCCACACACATACACACAGACACGTGTGTATGCTTACTCCGGGGTGGGGGGTGGGGGCGTGGTGGGGTTGCTCCATTTTCAGTTGTTGTTTCTTGGGGTTGCTAAAACACATCTTGAACATGCACACCCCCGAGCAACAAATCCTGCTGTTTTAGTGCTGCTCTGTGTTCTGCATTTCCTCCTGTATAAGGAAACTTTGCACTTAATTTTCAGGGCATGGAAAACTGGGAAAATACTTGTCTGTGTTTTCTGCACGATCGCTGCTGGTCAGCGTCCGCCAATGCACAAGTCAGCCTGTTTGCTGCAACTAACAATCCACATGCACACCTGGAGCCATCTCGGCGGTGTCGACGCTCTTCAGTCGCCGTCCGGGCTGGATCAGCCCCAGGCTCTTCCACCTCGACGCCCTCCTCTGCGGCAGGTTGCCTCCCAGCAGTTCCTGCCTCACCTCCTGCTGCCGCCGCGACCCCCACCTGTCCATCCCTCACCCCCGCTGCCGTCCCCTGCCCAAGCCCACAAACTCGGTCACGACCGCCACAAGACGCAACGGAGGGCCCACTGCGAATCCCCAGAACGGGCCCCACTCCACATCTTCGGCACCGGCGCAAGGAGCTCCGACCTCCCGGGAAACACCAAATGCGGCCAGGAGCAGGGGCTTCCTGCACAGCGTCCGAGCAGTCCCGCCGCGACTAAGGCGATCATCTAGATCCGGGTTCCCGCTGGCCATCGGGACGCTCGACCATGGCGCCGGCCCGGACCTGGCGAATCCCGAAGGCGATGCGCCCGCGAGCACGAGGCTGCGAGGCCGGAGCCGGGCGAGATCGCCGTGCACCCGCGGCCCGCGCCTGCCCGTGATCAGGGCTAGGGGACGGCCGCCAGGCGCCTGCCGGCGACCGGGGACCGCAGTGCGCGGCCGTACACGCGGGGCCCAGGGCGGAAGTTCGCTGTGAGAGGTGTTCCGCGGCCGAGGATGACTGCGGACATCCCGGCGGGATGCAGCCGAGCGGCCGCGCCAAGATCAGGTCCACGAGGGCGGGGCGGGGCGGCGGGGGGTCGCGGAGCGGCCCCGAGTCGACGCCCCTTCGAAAAATGCTCCCCCCACCCCCCCTCCAAAACATGCCGCCCGGACCCCACATTGCTCGGGCTTCCCGACGGCGCCAATGATAAGGGATCGCGGCGGGATCGTCCCTGCTGCGGCGAGAGCCTCCCGCCCCCGTCCCGCACGGGGGGGTGTCCGGTGGGGCGGGGCGCAATCGCTCCCCCTCGCGGGGCTGCAACCCCATGAGGCCCCCCTTCCCGGTCCGACGAGTCCGCGAGTCCCGCACTCGAGGCACCCCGGCGACCCTAGCGCGCAGCAAAACCCCCCACTCCCCTCCCCTCCCCGCCCTTCTCCGTGTCCTCCGCACCCACCCGCGCGCCCGGCGGGGATTCCTAGCCACTGGGGTCGTGAACAACGCTCTTGCTCTACACCAAGCAGCATGCACGCTGTCCCAAGTTCCGTCACCAGAAAAAGAACCTGATTATGACGCCCGGGCCACCTTTTACCCACAATGACAAGTGTGTCGCAGGTGCGCGGACGAAGGCGGGACGCCCCCTCCCCGCCCCCGCGTCCCCCGGCGGGCGCCTGCCCCCCAGCTCTCCTCGCCACAGCCCAACGCCACCCCCGGGGCCCCTTGGCCGAAATCCCGCCAGGCCAACCGACAGCCCCCTTGCGTGGGGGCCCTCCGGCCGTGCAGTGGCGCCGAACGGGGCTGGGCCGTGCGGGGATCGGGAGTGCGCCCTCGGCAGCCTGACGCGTTTTCCGATCTGGGCGCATTGAACACAGGGGGGGTTGGGGGTGGGCATAATGGGCCCTCGGGCTCGAGGCCACTCGGTCACTGGGCCGCGTGCCACGTCATCCGCTCCCGGGCGTTGGGCTTTCCCTGTGATGGCAGGTACAGTGGGGCGGGGGCCTTTCTTGCGCCTGGCGTCTGCGCGAGCGCTTGTCAGCGGCGTGTGACCGCTGTCAAATGTTACGCGACCTTAAAAAGAAATGTGACATCGTGTCGTGGACGGGGGCGCGGGGGACGCGGCACGCGGGCGTCCCCCGCTCGACGCGAGACCGACAGGCTGCAGAGAATTGGTAATCACCGTTATTAATCATTACATCTTGTGATGAGAGAGTTATTATTGGGCTGTGCACCGGTTGGAACCATGTTTTGCGATTGGGTGGCGGGTTGCTCGGCCACCAAGCTCCCTGGCAGCCGGGATTGCGACGAGGGTCAAGGTTGGTGGGTTTTCAATCCGTTTTTGGCATTCACTGCAATTCACGGCTGTAACCTTGTCCGGATGCATCTCTGCGTGCACGCACCAGGAGGTTTTCCACATACTAAGTGTGCAAAAGGTTTTCACAAGGAGGCTAATGCCATTGTGTATGGCCAACGGTGGCGCACAACAACCACCTTTCTGTGTCGACACCATGCCCATACTGGAAAGTCAACCTTGCCTCACACAAACGCTGGCTGACTTTGACTCACACAAACTGCAGATCGAACGCTTGCAGACAATCATGTCGGTGTTTCGCAAAATAGATTTTGGCAATTAAAATTTGTGCTTGGGTGGCGTGATAGTGATGTGCTCGTCTGTTGACAAACATAAACGTAGTGTCATCTTTTGGTGAGAACCCGGGGATGAGGAATTCTAGGATGGCGATGCTGGGGAGGGTATCGTGTGTGGCAATGAGCATGATGGTACAGAGGCAGACGGGGGTATGTGTGACTTGGCTACTAGGGGTAAAGGCTTAATTGGCATTTTATCAAGTAAAAATTAGTAATCTCTATAAATCCACCCTTTGGTAGGCTTATTCATAAGCCCCTGATGCTCCTAGGCTTTTGAAATGCCTAAATCCATTAAGAAATGACAAAGAAATGACGAAGTTATGGCTCTACGAAGCTGTAGTACTTAGGGTTGTGGATGGATGGGGGCTAGCACTTAAGGCAGTGGGGGAAAAGGGTCAATCGTGGGTGAACAAGGGATGGTGATGATGTGCTTGAACGCGCACTTGAGTTGTCTTGTCTTGATATGACAACGATAGTCCCGCGATCGAGCATTGCGCATGCGGATATGTGCGTGCGCATACTAGAGGTGGCCACCCGGATCCGTTAATAGCGGACAGAGGTTAATTTCCGTTAATTTTCCGTTAATTAACGGAAAATAACGAAAAAAGACAAAAATTAACCAAAAATTAGCGGATTTTTGGATTTTTTGGGGATTTTTGGGTTTTTTTCATACATATAGTTTATGGAATTCGCTATTAGAGAGTATGTTTGTATTTCATTTCAACCTATGCATACTAGAATTTCAACTAGCCGCAGTTGTTGTGATTTTTTGGGTTTTTTTCGATTTTTTTGGATTTTTTTCGTTTTTTCTGAATTTTTCTCCCTTTTTCTTTAACGAAATTTAACGGACAGCTCATAAAAATTAACGAACCGGATTTAACGGACCGGATGGCACCCTTGAGTGGCCACCTCTAGCGCATACTGTGAATCGTGTAATCATTTTGGCTGTTGTGTAGAGTACTAGGGTGTACCGCACTAACCGGTACCCGGGGGTATCGACAACCCCCTACGGTAACCGGCCCAAGAGGGCTACGGTTACGATAGTGTAGGGGTTAGAGTTGTTATACCGGCACTAGGGCGGTGGCCACTGGTACCTGGGGTACCCCCAGGTACCGGCGCTCGGGTGTGGCCCCAAGTACGTAGTACTTGGGGTCCGGTGCTGGGTCCCGGCTTAATGGCCTTCGAGCGCCCGCACCGGTAGCTCTCTCTCACCCCCTGTTGC